GGGCCTGGTCATTGGCAGAACAATGCCCCACTGCCCAACAACGGACACCACCACGGTCGGCCACGGGAGCTGGAGTGCAGGCCAGGAAAGGAGGTGGGGAGGAGGAAATTTGAGTTAAGTTTCCAGAATTTGTAGCAGTGTACTGACTAAAGCTCAACCACTTTGCTGTTAACATGCACTATGATACTGAAAGCTGCCAGGAGAATTTTTAATAGTTCTTGATGTGGTCCTGATGAATTCTGTTGCTCTTCCAGCTTAACCAGTCTTGCAAGAACATACTGTAGTAGGTATTTTGATGAAATTACATTTTCATGGTAAAGCAGTGTTTAAAAATCTGCTAGCTAGTTAAAAGTTTAAAAGTAACTTTGAAAGTTGGGTTTTGGTAGACGTGTGAGAAACTGCCACGAGTGTAATTCAATAGTTTTCTGTAATTTAGGAGGAATGCCCTAGTAGGACCCAGCAGCAAGTACCAGTTGCCAATACTGCAGTGAATTATTTCTGCTACTTGGGCACACCATGTAGTTTAAGTTTGAGGAGAAATTTTAAATGAGTACAGGCTCCTGGAAAAAAGATGAGAAGGTCAGGTGTCAGAGCACCACTGGTACACCAGCCCTATTTTCCTTAACCTTCTTAGGTTTTCTACTAAAAAAACGTTCTTTCATGTGTCACAACGTCGTGAAGTAAGATTAAAATATCACAATTAAGCCAGTATGTTTTCCATTGTTTTACTGAAACTGAAAAAGTAGTTTTGTACCAAAATGTACACAATTTAGTCATAATACAAAATGTTAATTCTGCAAGACAGAATGTCAGTTTAATCCACCAAAACGAACACTGAACCACTGTTTATTGCCAGAACAGTGTTACTTTAAATAAGATCACTGGATGAACATTGAAACAAATTCCATCTTTCCTTAAATAAAATGGTAACTATTAGCAACAATACTGCACAAGATAAACATTCATGGTATTTACATGCTATTATAACATATTTAGCATGTTGGATATCTTCATGCTTGCACATTAGCTTTATGAGCTCATTAGGATGGCATTAATGTGTTGATGTACTACAAAACAACCCATCATGATTTATATTGAACCTGCACATGAGAGGAGCACCTCTAACACTCACCCTTTCAGGAACGCTGCTGCATTACTCCAAGAAACCCAGTCCAATCCCCTGGCTGCCCCCCAGAAAAACTAAACCAAACTGGAGACATCCCACCATCAAGCGCATGAACAGTTCCCCTCCTGTGATTAACTAGGCAGGGTGATGCATTCAGCAACGTTCCCAAAGGTGAATCTGACCAGAATACACCTGGGTTTTCTGCATTACATTAAAACACCTGAGACAGCTTCACTGGTCCAAGTACAGTATTTTAATACAAAAACTGCTTGTTGCATTAACATGTCATTTCACTGAATCCCCTTAATTACTATTTTTCATTGAAAAAAGGATAAGATTTCTTCTTAAAATAAATACACCGCTTCAAAAAGAAAGTTTAAAAGTAATTCCTTTTAAACATCATGATCCCCTTGTGTTAGAAGACAGTGTCATTTTCTGGCTTCATTTTGTCTCAGCTTAGGCAGTGGATACACACCTACTCCTACAGAATAAGTGTCAAACACTTAAAAAAAATAATTATGCATATACATATGCATAAACACATTGTACTTTAACAGACAACTTTTAAAAGAAGTGTAAACATCTGTTCTTGACTCCTGCTGTTTGAATGCACTTCTATCAATAAAAAAAAAAGTTAAAGAAACTCTGTTTGCTTTCATACCTAACCTGTCTGACACAGAACCTTTTTATGTAGCTATCAGATTAAAAATCTAATTTTTCTAGATGAACAAAATACCAAAACAATTGGAAACACTGGTTTCCTCACTTCAGTATAATTATGTTTAACAGTTCAGAACTTTATAGGTCACAAATTTTCCGTCAAGGAAAGTGTGCAGTTAAAACATTGAATGCTGCTTACATGAGGCATCAGCAAATTAATTACTATATATAGGCAGAGTTTTCTATAAAATTAATATGATTCAATAAAATTTTCTTATAGGCTAAGACTTAAGTTTTAAATGTGAAAAAAATTTAAGCTGGGAGTTCATGGAAAGTGATTAGGCTTCCCACCACTTTAAAAAAAAAAAATCCCATTTAAATTTAGAGTGACGTGGTCTTCTTTAATTGTGCCAAACACATTGCATCACTTTTCAGCTTGGAAGTTACCACAAGCTCACCAGCCAAAATAATCTCAACCTGTAAAAACACACGACTGACCCTTTACAAAATGATTCGTATGAGTAAGAATTTCAAAGCCCCATTCAAGATATCCAACTGGATTTCTTTCATGAAGTCATCTCTAACCACTGAAGGTCTAAGTAGTCTCACAAAAGTCCATTGATCTCTGTTTATCTTACACAGATAGCATTTGAGTTGAAGGTGATTTTCATTCTAAACTTCACAGATTTTGGTATTTTCCCCTGTACACGTGGTTGGTTGCTAGAATATTTCTTCATTTCAAAGCTGTTTTAGTATTCAAGCTGCCTTCTTAGTGCAGGTTCCTTGAAGATCTTGTAGATTTATTTTTGACCTAATAACAACCGTAAAGTAACTACATTATACAATATACGTTGCAGTTGTTCATGTAATTATTACAGTATATCGTGTACTTAAGAATGGCAAAACAGCAGAAAAATAATTTCTCTGTTTCTTACCTGTTGTGGATCATGTGGCTTTTAACTAGATGCCCAGCTGCAAGAGCTGCCATTAGTGACAGTTCTCCTGCCATCACTGTCGCACAAACAATTTTAGCAAGCTGACGGGCATTTTCACCAGGGTTATCTTGGCTTGCACCTTGAACCCCAAGCATCTGCAAAGCAAAACATGCAATATTATGCTATGAAACCCACGTAAATTTATGCTAAATTTAGTATTAAAGTAAGTCTTTCCAAATTACATCCAGTGAACTAGCTTTGATATTAAAGGTCTTAAGCTTTAGAAAGTGGATGCATGAAAAATTTATGAGCTAACTCTAAAATTTTCTTGTCAAACCCACCACGTCCCCGGAGGCCCCATTCCCACAGTACTCTTTGGGCTCACTACAGACGGTGGGCGAGCGAGCTTGGCCTGCAGGAGCTGAGCTGCCCCACGCTCTCCGGTCTGTACCTGCAAACAGGCCTGCTGCGGGAGCAAGTTGGTGCCTCCGCCGACGGTGCCTATTTCTATGGAGGGCATGGTGCAGCTGATGTACAGGTCTTCGTTGGATGCACCGGTCCGCTCCATCAGGGTGATGCAGTTAGAGCTGCCCACGTTCTGCGCGGCGTCCTGCGCGCCCCCGGGGAGAGAGAGAGCACAATCAGAACGCTCAGCTACGCGCTCGGTTAAGGATTCCTGGAACGGGGAAGAGCTGAAGGGGTGGGTGTGAAACACACCTACCTGACCACAGGCAATGTAAATAGCTGTCACAATGTTTGCTGCGTGTGCGTTGTAGCCACCTATGCTACCAGCCATCGCAGAACCCACCAAATTTTTGTTTATGTTCACTTCAACTAGATCTTCTGTAGTTGTCTTCAACACCTAGACAAAGTGATACGCTTTTACTATAACGTGCCTTAGCAGGAGTAGAAATACCCTATTTATGGTTAATAAACCCTTGCCCCTTATTTCCTTCCATAGGGAATTTGACTCAGTCATTGCCCTAGATACCTACTTCTATTTTTGACATCTTTGTCAGTGACATAGACAGTGAGATCAAGTGCATCCTCAGCAAGTTTGCAGATGACATCAAGGTGTGTGTTGCAGTTGACACATTGGAGGGAAAAGACACCATCTAGTGGGATCCTGACACGCTTCAGAGGTGGGACCATGCCAATGTCACAAAGTTCAACCAGGCCAAGTGCAAGGTCCACCCCCTGGGCTGGGGCAATCCCTAGCACACCTACAGGCTGGATAGAGTATGGATTGAGAGCAGTCGTGAGGAGAAAGACTTCAGCATGCTGGCTGATGAAAAGCCCAACACGAGCCAACATTTTGCACCCAGAAAGCCAGCTGTATCCTGAGCTGCGTCAAAAAAAGTGTGGCCAACATCTCGAAGGAGGTGATTCTGCCCTGCTATTCTGCTCTGGTGAGACCCCACCTGGAGTACTGTGTCCACCTCTGCAGCCCACAACACAAGGACATAGACCTTTTGGAACAGGTCCATAGGAGGGCCACAGAGATGATCAGAGGGCTGGAACACCTCTTCTATGAGGAAAGGCTGAGTGTGTTCAACCTAGAGAAGAGAAGGCTCTAAGGAGACCTTACTGCAGCCTTCCAGTATCTGAAGAGACTCTACAAGAAAGCCAAGTAAGGAATTTTTACAAGGGCTTGTAGTGATAGGACAGGGGGTAATGGCTTCAAACTGCAAGACGGTAGTTTTAGATCTGAGGAAGTTCTTCACTATGAGGGTGGTGAGACACTGGCACAAGTTGCCCAGGAAAGCTGTGGATGCTCCATCACTGGATGTGTTCAAGGTCAGGGTGGATGGGGCTTTGTGCAACCTGGTCTAGTGGGAACTGGCCCTGCTCGTGGCAGGGACTTGGAACTACATGATCTTTAAGGTCCCTTCCAAATCAACCCATCCTATATTTCTGTGACTATCTGCTCTCATGGTAGTGGAAAGCATAAAACTTTGAAGAGAATGCCAGGCTTGTGCAAGAGACAACCAGTGAAATGATCAAAGTGACAGGCAAGTCCCTATGTTTTATAATCTGTCAAACTGTGGCATAATTCTTCAAAGGTAAAAACTGAATATCCTGATGCCTTCAACTAGATATACATCATTAAAGATATGCACATTATGTCAGAAGATACATGTAGGAATTAGTTACCTGGAAAAAACAGTTAATATTTATGATGAAAGGCAGGTATCAGTTTTGCAAAACATACACATTTTTATCAGGAAGTTAAGGAAAGCAGACACTTACTTCTCTAACAACCTTGGCTGGAATGACTGCTTCACAGACAACAGACTTTCCTCTTCCTTCTATCCAGTTTATAGCGGCAGGTTTTTTGTCTGTACAATAGTTACCACTAATAGCTATAACCTGGAGGTAAGGAAACTCTTCATTCAGCCTTGCCAGTGCTTTTTCAGTACCCTGTTAGAAGAGAAAGGGGAGAAAGGCTAGTGTATCATCATGGTTGCAAAACAAGCTACTCAAGGACAGTGGAGCAGCAAGATTAGGTCTGATGAGATCAGCCATTGCAGCTGAAGAAAATAACACAGGAGTCAGAAAACAAAAAACAACTACCACCGTATTTTTTCTAACCACTTTGGGAATTATATGGGGAATATCCATATATTATATGTGTTCTCCCCAGTACCTACAGACTGTATCTATTCTAGGAGGATGGGCATACAGTTACCATCCTGAAGAGACAACAAGAATCAGGTCAAATGCTACTGGCATGAAATGAATGAATTTTGGATGTAGTAGAACGAGCTTGTCTACACTAGGAAATCTGAAGAAAGGTCTGCTTTATTTATTAACTGTGTACGAACAGGCCCATTTACGTAGTGGTTCTGACAGACTTAAATTTTACCCAGAATAAGCCACTGGTATTAGTCTCAAACAGCACAAGGCATCCCAACAATCTATGAGTCACGTCTCACATTCTTCCATAACACTTGAGAACCCCCCTCTGCTACCGTTCACCAGGTTCCTCATCCTTCATTTACAAGGAAATGACAAACACAGCAAGAGATTAATTACTATTAGGTAAAATCTTTGGCCCAAAGCAACAAAGCAACAAGCTTAATTTCCATGCTATCAAGAACATTGACATTAAATAATAATTTTAAAAAATTAAAATACAAAGTTCCATCAATAGTAAACATCTGTTCTTGTTTACACTTGACAAAGTTAAACACTTTTATTATTTTATAGCACTGCAAACAGCACTATGTCTAATACTCCTCTCTTCACATCCCAGGTAGTCACAGATTGGTAGGCTATCATTTATTTTTAAAAGAAAATTATGATTATTAAAAAGACTTAAAGGGACTATTGTTTTTAAATAGTGCTTAAAAACACTGGTCCTTACTTTTGAAATCATATTCATTCCCATTGCATCCCCTGTTCCAGACTGAAAACGGATATAAAGGTTACGGCCAGCCAAACTGATGAGAAGCTTTTGTAGGCGGGCAAACCTGCAAGAACATTAACTATTACTTGCAATCCTCAAGGGAACATATCAAATTAGTTTCAAATGGCAAAATGGCAGTAAATCACTGCAGTGCTGTTAACGACACTGTGTTCCTCCTCCCTCAGCACAGGAAACACCCTGCGGCTACCACGCACACAGCTCTCCCAAGTAAATACTTCTGAAATGGTCACTCTAAAAGTGTTCACTGCTTTTTTACATTTTCTATTACTGGACTTAATGAAATAACACGTCCTGAAGTCCTACCATAAATGGAATGAATTTGTATTCCTGAAAGCACCTGACTACCAGGCATAAACAAAAAATGAGGCCTTTGGACAGCGGCAGGAGTCGACTCTGGCTGAAACACACTTATGTCCTTGGCTGACACTTGTAAGATTGGTAAGAAACAAAACTCATACGGAAAACTCTCTCCGAGTCTTCCTAAGGAAAGCAGGTAATCAGAGGTCCTAGAAAAAGGCTCTAGGACTTTACAAAGACTTATTCTTAATGCTGGTTTACATTTTTTTAGCATTTCTGTTCTAGCATTATCCTATATTCTCGTAATATAATCTGAAAGACTAGATTCCCAACTTTCTATTACTTTTTGCATAGGAACTGCCAAAAACCCAACTAAGCTTTTATGTTTATTTTTAAATGCTTAGAGGAAATAAATAATGCATTAAGTATTATGCAATGTAAATTCATTTGCTGCTAGGTTACAGTTGCTTACAACCTATCATTGGAAAATGTTTATTTAGCAGGCTCTGTACACAGCCAGAATGACGTTTGCTCTCCTAGACTCACACTACATGGGGTAGTCAAAATGAGTACATCGTTTCCTCTACAGTAGTACACAAACAAAACCACCAGTTAGGAGCTTATGTGAAGAAGTAAGGCTGGAACAGCCATCGTACTAACCTGCTTGTGCTGTCAAAAGCTTCCTTCATTATTTTAAAGCCTTCAGGGCTTTCAAGCCAGACTTTCACTTCTGCAGCCTGGCAAGCAGTGGGCAGCCTCACTACAGGTCCCCGAGTCATCCCATCCGCCAGAATGCGGCTGCTTGCTCCTCCACCAAGCTAAAAACCAAAGCAGAAGGGAAACCAAGTATAGCTTTTAGGAAGTCAAAACCACGCCTGGTATCACCCCGCATATGTTTTATAATATAAAGTTCTTCAAGCTAGTCAGACAACACTTACACATATTGCTCTACATCCTCTGTTTGTACTTGCTACAAGACATCCCTCTGTTGTTGCCATTGGCACCTGAAACTCTTTGTTATCCAAAAACAGTGGTCCTGCTATGCCTACAGGAATAGGCATATATCCAATCACATTTTCACAGCAAGCTCCCATAACCTTACAAAAATAACAGAAAAGGCATCATTAAGGTTACACTACAGTGGTATGGTACAGCACATCACACACTATGCACCTACATACTATGTGACTGCAACAACGCGTTTCAGCAAAAACCCCATAACCCTACTGGTTACAGCAACTGCTAACGCAACCAGTTCCCACCTCAGAAAGTTAACAACTACAGCTATCAGCTAATACTATTCAAATGTAAAATTTGGCAGATGCATTGAATTTCAAGTCTTAAGCTCTATTTAGAAACAAACAAACACACACAACACTCTAATATCGCTAAATGAACTTTAAATAAATTTCCATTTGAACTTGAGCTCAAGGCAATACCATCCTTCAGCTGAACCCAAGCTCAGTCTTGGCAGAATTCTGCATTTGTGAGACAAGACAGCTGCATGCTTTGTTATGAAATGTTTTTGGGGTAAGTTACAAAATTTGCCCCCCTCCCCAAGTTTAAGAACAACAGAGTGCTATGTGTTTGCCTGCTTTGTTTTTTTTTTAAAGCTTCTGCATCAGTTTTGGTCAAGCTCACTGTTAACTCATACACATCACTTCAATCATGTATTTATGTACTTAATGTAGTTGGAAAATAGTTTTACAGTGAGTTTTGCTTGTCTGCATTTACTTACCAAAGAGTAGTTATAATTCCTGTAAGGAAGATATTGCAAAGACGACGGTTCGGGGAGTTTCTTGGATAACATCTGCCGGCGAATGGACACACCTCGCTCCTGGGTCTCCATGAGGGTCTCCAGTTTGTACGCAGGAATATGCTTAGCATTAACTAGGCTGATAACCTCAGCATCAGTAAGGAATTTTGCTCCTTTCTGGAAATGTAAAGGATCGGGAGATAAGGTATAGAGTCTCTTGGCGAAAGTACTTTTCAACACTTCCAAATGAAAAAGGGCAACCACTTTACTTTGACATTATCAGAGTACATGTAAAGGAACCAAATGCCAGTGCCAGGTTTTATAGTAGTAATGGGTATGATCAGAAAGTTTTTACTCAAGATACCCAACTTAACCATGTACTTATGATGAAGCTTCAGTGACCTGGTACCTCATGAATGATGAAGCTGCTTCCTGCTCCCCCAAACCCTGACTGACTGGAGGAGAAGTGATGCATTAGATGGTTTTGTTTTAGTCCTGATCCCCCCCCCAACCTATTAAAGCCATACAGTTTTCTGAAGAATGTCAGTTACCATCAACAGGATCATTTAAAAGCTGGAAAGTGAACTGTAAGTATTCTTAAATCAGGTGTTCCAGTAGAGGTTAAAAAGAAGAAAAAGGTTTTTTTCCATACCTCTGCATTTCCAAGTATACGAACACATTCCTCAATAGAACGTGGTTCTTTAGGCAACTCAATTTCTTCCTCTTTCCCACTAGGAAATGAAGAAGTTTCCACAGGGCTGCAGCTGCCAACTACAAATGTAGCCTTGGTTGACGACTCTGGTAATACAGGCTTTATGATTTCATCTGCATAAAGGGAATTAAAATGAACTTGGCTTTACAAAATCCAGAAGCTTTGATTCCAAATACAACATGCTAACACAGATTTCACTATTTGTTCCAAATATTCAGAAACAGGTTCAGACTTTAAAATGCTAAAAATTACCATTTCCATCTTTGGGAACTAAAGGTTCTTCTGCTGCATTAGATTTCTGACTGTTTTTCTGAAGTCCAGATTGCTTCCTGCAACAATTCTCAGGGACCTTTTTCTGGACCATCACTGGAGATGTTATGGGGTTCTTCAGTGAAAGCGTGGATTCAGTCTCTGCTTGCTCAAAGAAAATGTATTTGACAGCAAGGAGAAGGGCTAATCCAAGAGTGATTACTTGTTCAATGTCCATGCTGGCCATTCTACAAGAGACAAACCAAAAAGTAAATACATGGTATATACAATTTATTGTTTATAATAGTTTTTTTGACATTTGTTTGCTTTAGAAAGTGTAATAGATTCATCATGATTTATAGAGTTACAGAAACTCCAGTCAATAGACATTTTCTATCAGGACATTCAAGTATGCTAGGTTAGGGTAGAGAAATAATTCTTTACATTATTAACCATAGTAATATTCTACATTATTATTTATAATATTAACAGTTTTCAGATGTCATTAAATAGTTGCCAAGTCTTAGCTAAAAAGCAGTCCTAGTAAAAGAAAGGGCTGTAAAATAGTCAGTAACAGCTTCATCACATTACTTTAACTCCTGTCTCCCAATGATAAAGTAGAAAGTCTCTGCTACCATCCTTTACCAATAATGACTACTATGTTGCAAAACTGCAAAGAGGAAGAGGAAAAAAAAAAATTGAAACTGAGAGTTCTGAGTTTCCAGATGTAATACAGAACCATGGGTGCCACCAATTTCAGCTGAGCTGAAGGATAAATGATAGTGACGTGGTTTTTGCACTTTTTGCTCTCGTGTGCGAACGCCAAAAACTCTGCCCGAACAATTGCTCCAGTGAAAAAATTACTTTTTCCAGCACGCTCTGAAATTTCGTATGAAATGTCATCTCTGGTTCCAGAAAGCCCTGCACTGGTCAGAGCTGTCTGACCTGGGAGCACAGCCTGGCCGCACTGAGAAGCCCCCAATGAGGGACACACGCTCCCCCCAGCGAGGCTGCCCACCGAGAGAGGTAGAACTGCCACAGGGACACGTTGGGCTCAATCCTCTTGGGCGCGTTCTCATCCAGTCCCACCGAGCTCTCCACGGTGCTGTTCTGAGCCGCTGGTTCCGCTATCCAGCGGCTGTGGGCGTGAACAAGAACCAGGCCCAGCGACTGCACAAAGAACACAAAACAACAAAACATCCGTTTTCAACTGCAAATAAGTATCAACCCTATGAATATTAAACGTAATCTGTTTGCTTGTTTGGATTTCATGGTTTCGTTTTTATTTGCCCATGTCTCAGAAGTCTAAAGCTAAGGGCTGGTTTCCCACCCCCGATGAACATCCCTTCTGGCCTGTCCCACCACATCCTTCCTCTTGCTCAAGTGATAAGCAAAGGAAGCTGAGCATACCTCAGGGATAAAAGGGAGGGAATCAGTACACATGAAAAAGCCCAGAGTGTTTGGCACAGAAATGACATACACAGGAAGACTTCAGGTGTAGGCACAGGCGATGTTATTAAAAATCACCCTGGTAAACTAGACTAATGGGATGCAGAACACAAGTCTATAGAAAACAAAACTCATTGCACCAGGACACCTTACTGATGGCATAACCACAGGTGAAAAAGAGCCACAAACCATAATCATTTTGACCCTCTGTGTTACAGGATTTGGTTTATTTTCTTCTTCTTCCAGAACACGAGCGAAATGGCTAAGCTGCCAGATCGGGCGCCCTTCACGGCTCTCTCGAGAAAGCTGCAGAAACAAAATTTAAAAATAGGTCCTATTCAGTACATATTAGAAGAATGAACAAGTGAGCTTCAGCATTGCATTTTTGTTAGTTCACCAAGAAATTACCAACAAAAGAGTTAGCATCTAATCTATTGTCTAGCTTATGTTGGAATTCAAATCATGAAAAAAACTGGACGGCCAACAATTTACAATATAATTTGTGTACTCTGCTTTAGATCAGAACTCACACTACTGAGTGTGAGTTATTTACAGTGGCATTAACAAGTTATCAGCAGAGCCACTGCAGCTCTTTTTGTGCATTCCCTCTGTTCACTCTGAAAAGAAGACAAACATGCTGCCATGTAACTCCATGAAGAAATGTACAGCCTGTGAGAAACCCAGGGTCTGCATACTAGGTTTATGTTGTCTGGAAGTTGGTCTTACCTCTAATACCAATGACACACAAGCTGGAAAGAAGGTCATGAAGACGAAGTAGTTGGCAAGAACAGACATACAGCCAAAGCAGCACATAATTTCAAGTTGTCGTACACCTGCATAAAAAGAGAAGAAATTTTTTACAGTTGAATATGCAATGGGCTTTCTATATACTTGAAGAAGCATTGCAAAAGTAACAAAGAAACCATTAAACTAACACTGAAGATTATAGAAGGAACTGTCTAGATAAATGAAGAATAAGCACATTAAGCCCTAGCCATTGTGTATTGGCTGGTTCTAAGCACAACGTGTATGTGTGGTGTGGTATTTACAGAAAAGCTTTGAATTAGAATTCTAAATAAATAATAAGTTCACCAAGACTTTAAATCTTCACACTGTGAAGATTTATGATCCTATTGTTTTAATTTTATAAAAGCAGCTACGCCGAAGTCCATTCCTACTGCACAATGCTCAAGGAAAGCTGTCATTTGTATTTTAAACTTCTTTTCAAGATGTATGTATTCTTATCTGCAGGAAACTAGTAATATAGGCTCATTAGGAAGGTAAAGAAACAGATTAAGTCACTCCACTCTCAGGGGTAACAGCAACTATTTGATTCTCAATATCCCAACGTCTTTCAAGCTGTCTTTTTTAATTGGAAAGATTTAGACATTTAGACCTTATAGCTCACCTGACATAGTACCAACACCAATCACAAGACACTCCACAAGAGCATCCAGTGTAAACGTAGGGCCCAAAATTGCCATTCCACGTGAAATATTTTCCCTTACTTCATCCTAGTAAGAAAAAATTCTGCACGTTAACATAAAGACAAAAATCAAACTAAGGCAGTACACACGATGTAAATCTATGTGATCAGTAAATTGAGTAGTATTATTGATAAGTCCTTACAAAACATATATTGAAAATGAGCTATTATGAGAGACTTTCTTTAATTGCTTTATATCCCTCAGGTTGTTACACTTTGACAGTCTTTATTTACACAAAATTACTGAATTTTAATTAATTTCTCTTCCTTTGGCTCATCAGTATTGTAAGCTCCTACAACACTAATGGACAAAGATCTGAATTACAGTACGTTCAGAAGAACAGAATTTCTACACTTCGAAGACAGCAAATGTCATGACATTTGAAAAGTTCTCACAACCACACATCTGTATGCTAACTTTTACTATTTTATTACTTAACTCGCTAGCCTCAGCTGACAGAAAAGAAGGCATAAAAGACAGAAAAACTTTCCCTGAGGGGGAAAAGGGATTTCCTGCAGAAGCCAGGCATGGCAACGTCTAGAGGGTCTGCTGCCCTTTTTTTCGGTGGTGGTGGTTTTGAAGAGAGGGGGATAGAAGCCATAGGGAAAACCTGTTTGTGAAATACAAGCTTGATAATGAATGAATATCCTGTATTTACAATTATTATAGAATAATATAGAATACAGAGTAATATGGGTGCATGTATAGAGAACGCACATTATACTCAAATATATAGTATTAAACAATATACAATACTTTTGACACAATGAGCATGCTCAACTACTATGCACAGTATTTTGCAGATATAAATTAATTTTGTTAAATATACTTTTATTTCAGAAGTTAAACTATGAGGAAAGAAACATCAAAATGTATGACAAGCAAGATGTCCTGTCAGTCCTTCTTGCTGTGCTGTGTAAATTATGGCAGAGCATGAGTGCTTCTATCTGCACGTATGCTCTGTTTCCTCTGCTAAGGTTCTGCCTGAAGTATGCTCTTTCCAGTGTCAGCATTCTAACGTTAGCTGTCTCTTTACATACTGTTCCTCATCCCTGGAAATGAACTTCTTCCCTATGAATAACTGTTCTGCGGAAGCCTTTGGTCTAGAAACTATGGTCTCCTTAGTAGAGCTTTAAGTATTGCTGGTTTAAAGTTCTGAACGTATAAAACACTCATACATAAATTAACTTAGCTCACCTGACTGTGCATTTTACAGTGTTATTATTTAATTGAACACTCATCTGGATTGAAAACAAAAGAACACAGAGTATGGATAAAATCTTACCCTTTTTCTATATTACCAATATGGTATTCAACTATACATCTCTCCACTTATAATATTGACAGAATCACAGAATGGTCTGGTTCAGAGGGGACCTTAAAGTTCATCTGGTTTGACCCCCTGCACATGGGATAATGTTCATCTTTGAACATTAAATTCAAAAGCTCCATTACAAAAAAAACCAAAAACAAAAACAAAAACTCCAAACCCTCTGACCTGTGAGTTGGAACTGAGTGCAAATTTGGCTAGTGCACTTGCTCTTGACAGATCAATCAGAAGCAGGAAGAACGGTAAAGCTTCACTGAAAAAAAAGAAAGCGGCATATCAGAATTCAAGGTTTAGCATACTAGAAAAAAAAATTTGAGCAAGAAACCCAGAGCAACAACTCATTACTTACTTTAAACCCGTTAGTTCTTTATCCAAGAAGTGAATTACCACTGTACTAAAAACAAAACTTGAGAAGATTGTGAAGAGGCCAGCAATACCTTTAAAAGAATTGAGAATTGGAAATTTTTGGTTTATGTATATTGGGAGTTAAAAATAAAAACTATACCTTTAGATAAAACCTGAAGAAAAAAATAACAATTCTCATCTCCCAGAGATTACTAACAGCAGTTCAGATATCAACTGAAGTAGATGTTATTTTTAATACAGATATTTAAAACCAAAATTTGTACTGCATTTGAAGAAAGCCTATAAGAAATAAAAGCCACCTATCTTCTCCTTATCAGCAAAAATGAAAACTAGTTTAAACAGCTCTACACCTTTATACAATAAAACATTATTTCAAGAACTACATTTCCAGTTTATATATTATCCTACCTAATCTCTCTTAAAAAAATTGCGCTTTGATTTAGGCAGAACATTTATTCTGCTACATAGCAAATAATTAAAACAACCCTGTTCTGTAGTAAAATTTAAATAATGATTACCAACTTATACTTAGAAAAAACAATTAAACATACAGCAAATAAAAAAATCAGCACCAGTACCTAAAATGTACTTTGATCCAAGCTGCCTTAGGTTCTGAAATTGGAAATATATATAAAGGATTGCTATACAGCGTGTGATTGTCAGGATGATGATGTCACTGCTCAGAACATCCTGTATGAGATATAAAGTGAGTGAGTTAGCTTTTACATTATGCAGTAACTTAAGTGTCAGTAATAAAAAAAATCCATTCTAAAGCTGCACTAAAATTGAAGTTTCAGAATAAAATAAGTATCACAGCTACTCCAGTTTATAAAACTAAAATACTGCAAATAATATTAACATAAAATCCTTGCCCACTAGATACCTTCTGTAGTGCATCACTGCTTGCCCACAGCTTTAGTATCCACATGGGAAATAAAGGCAGTGAAGAAGTTTCTCCACAGCTACTGTCATCCTAATACATCACAACCTGATCTCATTATACAGAAAACCCTGGATCTCCTCATTAACTGTAAGTACTGTAACATAAATTTAAATCCTTACTTCTTCAAGTTTGGGGCACTCGTAATTCCAGCCACAGATCTTATCGTTCCCAGTGAACATCTTCATGGACATCATACAGATGGTGAGAGTCACTGTCCCCACAATGACTTCCCACGGGTGAGAGGCTACAAAAAGGCCATGCATTCGAAAGAGCCTGGACAACATTTTCGAGTCTCTTTTTCTAAAAAACTCACAGAACCTGCAACAGAAGAGTATTTCATATAAGCAAGTATGAGATTCTGGTGAAAAAAAAGACAGAGCTCTGTAAATTTCTGCAAGTCAACCCTCAGTAAAACAAAACCAGCCAAATAACAGATGAGTAAGCAAACTAATATTTACCTTTTAACCTTCCATGTAAAATGCATTTCTTTCCAATCTCCTGAAATATAACATGATCTACACCTGCCTTATCAATAATTTTTTCAATACACATCTCCCTTGTTTCTATAAGGTCTTACTAATAAGTCTTCATCACTCTCACAACATATATACACAACACATCTTCACAACATAGTTATCTTCCTGTCACACAATTCTGATACCATTTTGACTCGAACGTCTTGGGTTTATCACCTACATAAACACTTACTAAACTCTGTTTCTTCTTTCTAATCACACCTCCTATCAAAAATATCCTTTATTTTAACTGTGTAAATTAACAGCTAACCATTGCTGGTAACGCCTAGCTTCAACAGCAGGA